ATGCAAAAAATTCAATTAATATTCGCTGTGGAAAATTTTGTTAAATAGATGTTATGATTAATACATAAGGCTTTATTTATTATTATAGTCTTATGAAGTGTGAGTATCAGTATTAATTAGCTAATTTAAATAGTTTTCATCATAATCCTAATTTTTGAACTTCTCTGAATAGAAATTTTACTTAATTACTTGGGAAAGTTATCAAATATATCTGCACATGCAAGCTCACGTATACTCATCTGTATATAAATGAATCATGATAAGAAATTTATTCAAGAAAGCTTATTAGCTTGACGTAATTCACTTTCTTGAAATTATTCTCCATTCATTCACTATCGGTAATTAGCGCTATGAGTAATAAATAATATTTACAACTTATTTTCACCTTCTATGCGATAATGAAAAGAACAAAATTCTGTAAACAATTACTATTCATTAATTATTATTTGCTCTAAATAGATAGAAAGAATATAATTGAAAGTGAATAAAATTGTATGTTTCATTATTTTAATACATGAAAATAACCATTTATTAATGTTAATATTATCGTATAGTGATGGAATTTTATTCAATTCATTTTGAAATAGTAAAAAAAAAAACTAAAATATAAGCAAATGAATGCTGAATATTTAATGATTATTATATTTAGTTTGCTTATTTTAAGATTTCTAATCCCTTCTAATCTTCTTCAGGAAGGAAATTCAATAATTTATATTATACATATACATATATGTGTATATATTTGTATATGTGTCATCGACACTCAATTTTCTCATAGGGATTTATATTTCGTTTCAATAACTGCCAAGCTTAGTAGCAGTATTAGCTTTGACTGATTATTTTATTGTCAGTTGCAGTTATTGTTATTGAATACAATTATTCCGTTCTACTCTGATCTAAAAAAATGAAATTTTACTTAATTCAAACTATAAATTTCAAGAACTAATTCTATATATTGCACAGCTTTCTATTCTGAAGTGTTAGATAGAAATTTCTATTGTTTGAATTACTTAAAATCTCCACAATGTCATCAATGTCACGTGGAATCTCCAAAGATGAAACATCAGATGATGCTAATCAATTGAATAATTCTCTGCATCATCTGTGCCATAAAAAGATAACAATGATTCGAAGCTGCTCCGAGATAACACCACAAGCAGATCATTCGTCATGGCCCGGTCAATTGACGATTTCTAGGTCAAGTACTTCAAATGAAATGCCGCTTATTGGAGAATGTCGTTATTGTGATCAGAACTGTCGCTGTTCATGCTGCCCATTCTGCGATCATCTCGTTATCATTTATGCACCGGTCTGTTTCAAAGCTTTCCAGAAAAAACAATTTTACAATCTTATCTTTACGACTTTGTTTTTAAATTTTACTTTTTGATAATGTTATTTTTTTTCCGCTCATATTATTTGATATTTTTCTTTATCAAATTAAACATCATTCTTTATCGGATTAAACATTAAAAACAGGGAATTCTTTCTTTAAACTGAAGCTTATTTAAGAATAGACTAAAATTCAACATATTGTAAGAATTGGAATTAAAATTTAAAAGTTTTAAAAAATATAATTGTCTTTTTTATCAAATATGTTGTTAAATTCTCTACGGAACAGAATTAAAATCGTAAGGTTAAATGATGATTAAATATGAATGTAGTTTAAATTGAAAGGATCAGAATTTTACTTTTAGAGTCAAAGTTTACAAAAGGTTAAGCATCAGTTAAAGAGTACAGTTGTGCCCAGTTTAGCTCACTATAAGAAAGCTTTTTTACTTGGTAATTTCATATCATTACGATCAAATATCGCTATCCTTTTTCACTTCTGTTCTTCAAATGACAAAAATATGGCACAAAGATCTAATGTGTAATTTTCTTTCATTCATAAGAATTTTTCCCCAACAAAATATGAGTTTTATGAATTGATCACATTCATCAAAATTAATTTTTCGAACCTACGAATTTGAATAAGGTCAAAAATTCGTAGAATCTTTTATTTTAAGAGTTTGCAAAAAGATTTCCAATATTGTATGAGATATAATAATTAGAGGTACTGGTAATAGATGGATTAGTAAATGTAATGAATTCTTGAATATTACTGAAATTTAATTAATAATCTGAATAGAATCTAGGATTTTTCATGTTTAAAAATATAATCTAAACTTAAGGTTCAATATATAAGTTCTCCAGCTATTTTTTGTATTTTATTTTTATTTAAACTGCGACGTAAGTTCATTGTAAATATCAATTGTCGTTTAATGATGAATGATATGGCCTAAGTATAATTTCTTAGATTTCAATGCATTGCTGTTTCATTTTCTCACAGTGAAAGAAACACATTCTAATTAATTCGATATAAAATTTCTATTCGTCATAATTCATTTTCTTTCATCTTTTATGATCATCTTCCGATATTATAAATTATCACAAAGCTGATAGGAAATATTCAAGTAAAAATTATGTTTATTTTTCATTGAAATTATCTTACGAATACAGTATTCGCTAGTAACCATTATACTTTTTTACATGTAAATTGATTTGTGAACAATCTACTCCTTACTCCCCATTCATTAGAAAATGTCGAAAAAATGAAATGAAAATGAAGCATCAGAGCTTTGCCTAAAGCGAAATTTCATCAAACAAAAAAAAAAAATCTGCTTAAATTTTTTTTTGAAAATATTTAAAGGTGCAAAAACTGAATATTCAATGTATTTAAATACAATGGGAAAATTTCGACAAATGAATGATAACAATGTAGAGCTAAATAGTAAAAATTTAATTTTCAGAGGACAAAGTAGAATCGAAATGATACCATTGGAATAATTAAAAGAAGTAAATTTTAATAGAAAGAAAAGGACAGTTGTCCTCACATACTGCTAAAATATTATTTTAAATAAATATATAATTATTGTTTTTTTTTCTCATCCCCTTTCATTTCATTTCTTTTTTTTGCACCGCTTTATTCATTCTTTCATTGCATTTGAAATGTTAAAATTTTTGAATGTATTAAAAATTTATATGCAGAACTCATTAACTACAATTGCTTTGTAATTTAACGAATCAATTTTAAATCACTGAGATGATCGTCGAATGCTTATGAGAGTTTCTCCAAGTGTAGCACATCACAACATTCCTCTTCCTGCATCTTGCAGATCACAACATCCCTCCTCCTGCATCTTGCAGATCACAACATCCCTCCTCCTGCATCTTGCAGATCATAATATTTCTCTTGTCTCCTACTTTTTATACAAACGTAATGAGTATTCCTTTGCTAAATTTCACTTTTAAATTAGCTCTATGTTAAATGTATCTCCTTACCATTACGTTTATATAAAAAGTATTTAATGGCTTTGAACTAATGTTATAATTTTGCTAATTGATTAAAGCTAAACTTCTTATGCTAGTAATCATCTCTTTTCTTTTGCTATTTCTAGATGAAAGATATTTAATATTTTGAAAAAAAAAATATTTCAATGTTTTGAAATTCTTACTGAATGTTTGTTTTTCAATTTCAAAACTTTGTTTTTTTTAAAAGTTCAAAAATCTGTTTTTCAAGCATTTTTTGTTTCCTGTGTTAACAAAACAAATTTTTAAGATTTTTATTCTCATTTATTTTTAAAATTTTATATTATTTTCTATGCAGAAATTCTTCATAACTGTGTCGGTTAACAAATCAGTGTCAGACAAAGATAAATTTGTGTAATTAAGTTATAGGCATATGATAGCCAAAATTTGACCAGAGAAGTATATGGTGAAAAGCTTTGTTTAATAATATGAATGGAAGCTGATTGGTGAAATTTGAAAAGATGTGTATTTATTGTAAAAGAATTTTAGGTTGCCAAAGATGTGGAATAAATTCTGTTTATTAGCTAAGCCGAGAAGAGAAGAAGCTAAAGTGAAATAATGAAAATGATAGTAGGAAAAAGTGCTCTGCAGACAGTGGAAATGATTACGTCAGAATGCCTCATTAATCAATTGTCATCCAATAGTTTTGCATTTCAAACTTCCCTTTGATAGTCGGCCAGTCCGCCACATCATTTTCTTTCCATTCAATCATGCGAAATTTTGAAGGATCATCTCAAAGATACTTTCCATTTGCATGCAGAAAAAGGAACACGAAAAAGCAGGGCGAGAATTATTCGTTGGTTGTTATTATTCAATTAACAAAGCTTTTTCAGTTGTTGACAGCTTCTATTGGTTGAGTATATTTATACACTGAGGAGCAGCAAACAACATTGTTTCATTTCTATTTTAATCTAATTTTTATAATTCAATAAGATTTTCTTTAAGCTAATTTATAGTTAACAAGAGTTTAATAAGATTTTGCTAATTTTTGCAATAAATATTTTCATAAAATATCTGTTTTTTCTTTTCAGATTTAAAGCATATTAAAGTTTGATTTGGAAATTTTTAATTTTAATTAAATCATTCCATCTCTATTATGCATATGTAATTAATATATTACATACTTTATGGGACACTCAAAGAGGAATGTTTCTTTGGGAATTTATAACGGCTTTGGGAGTTTGCAAATTACTTGCGTTAGCGCTTGTGCATGCACGATGAAACGAAACGAATTTATATCTCAACTAAAAGTCTTGTCAATTTCCTTTGTTCAGAGACATTGCCGCCAAATCCATTAATTTTTTCTTGTTTTAAATTGTCACTTTATGTGTGAGACCGATCGCTTTCTCTTCCATTTCATCGTTTTTTTTTCTTTCAATTCACTCAGCTCATTTTCTTTCTTTCCCATCATATTTGACATTTACAAAAATAATTGAATTGAATTTATGATAGATTTTTATTGTTTAAATTTTCTATTAAATCAATCGATCGAGGTCAAATTGAAACATTTATGGCTTATATTTAATAGAGACATTAGGAATTAAAGAAAAAACAAAACAAAACAAAAAAAGCTTTTTTTTTTCAAATGAATATCGAATTATTAAATTTTAAAGAACTGAGCTCATTTTTTTCACCAAAATGATTTATTATTCACAAATATATTTCAATCATTTGCATTTATTTTTGAGAAAAAAAAAAGAAAGCAAACGTTACATCAAATAATTTCCGTTAAAATCTCTTAAAATTACCCTACCGAAATGATATCATGACCATTAGTTGATAATTTTTCAACCAATTTAGCTGTCAAAAATTTCATTTGATTAATTTTCTTTTTTCATTTCATGTCAATTTAACATTTTTTATTTACTATATATCATAAGTAAGAGATATCTTTATATTTACAAATTTTTGTGTAAGCGATACTTTCTTAATCTTTTTTTTCTATAGTACAAACTATTTGATCAAATTGTATTTCATTCAATTCTTATTTACCCGTGCACCTTTTCTATTGCAACAAGTACAGTTGTAATAAATTACCATATCAATTTTCCTTTTTTTTTTGCTCGACGAGCAAAGTAAAGTTATCTAAATTAATATTTTGATCGTAAAAAATTTTTTGAAATATAATAAATTCTTTTCTTTTTTTTGAAAAATGAAAAGTTTTCGGAATAAAAAATTTGCTTAAAGAAGTTGATTTTTGTTTTTGTTGCTTTTGCTGGTTTCTTGTAAATTAAAAAATTTTAATGGTTTAGGCTTCAAAGCCACGTCTTTCAAGTATCACATTCTCAACGGTAACGAGCGCTACTGGACTGCCAACAATTGCCGCTGAGCCTTCTAGGCCTCGATCAAGTAGGTAAGCAAAAGTTTATATTTTTTATATGTACAATATTTTTGATTTATAATCGGATTTTGCTGATAGATCGCTCAATTACAATGATAATTCTTCTCAGTGATTTTGAGTCTATTAATATCTTCTCCTAATCAATTTAAATTAGTTAAGTATTTTAATACATTCATTTTTTGGAGAATAAAATTGAATTTTATAGTTATTGGAAGCAACCGGATCGTGAAAGTTGTAAAGATGGTGCTAGTCCGGAAAATAAGCATTACTTTCAACCACAAACATCCAACACTTCTGTAGTTGATGCCACCACATTGAGCGGTATTACTTTTCCTTTTTAATTTTCATTAATTTAAATAATTATTTGAATTTTTTCCGATGAGTTTATTTATAGATGAAGAAAAAGAAAGAGAGGATTCGATATTGATTAGAACTTCCAAAAGTAATCGAAATACGAAAGATGATGAAATTGATGCAAGTGTGTTTGCCTGCACAAGGTATTTCTATGAAATTTTAATTCATTTTTAAAAATTACATATCGAGAAAGTTGAATGTTTACATTTTTATTGCTAATATTCCGTGAAAAAAGAAAGAGTTTACCATATTATTAAAGTATGATTTTAAAAAAATTTTTTTTTTGAATTAAAATTAAGCATTGTAATTTTGAAGGTTTGATAAAATAACAATATTTTATAGTTTGGAACAAATTGATGATCCTGTGATACGTACATCAGATGGTACACATTACAGTTGTACGGAGTTAAATTCAGATAATGAATTAGTAAGGATTGCTGAATGGGGCTTTCCTATTTTCCATTTTGCTGAACGACATCCAACGACAACACTTAGCAGGGTATTTCTTGCTTAAACTTTATAGCTTTTATCAAAAAGCAATCAAATAACAGCTTTCACTTAGCATTTGTTAAGCAACTCTTTAAAGTATTAAAAAAAAGTCTAATTTATTGATCATTAAATTTAATAAAGAATTAAAATTTGAGCATGAATTTTAATCTTGTCAATGATTGATTACCAGTTGAAATGCATGTATAACTTCTTTATATGTGAAATAACCATTTATGTCATGAAATTATAATTTTTGATTTCTATTTTTATTATATTTGACGACATTTTGATGTATAAAGCTCTCTCGATGTATTTAAGAATATTTTTACATTTCAGATAGCTTATTCAGTATTCAGAGAACATGGCCTTTTCCGGATTTTCAAATTATCACCAAATAAATTTTTTAATTTTTTTCATTCATTGGAATGCGGGTATTGGGACATTCCTTGTAAGTATTTGTAATATAGTTCTTTAATAAAACAATTTCTCCATTAATAATTTTTTAATTTCCATATACAATATTTATTTTACTGTTTAAAATTACAGTAATCATTCATTGATAATATTTTTCAAATAAGTAATTTTACAGATCACAATCGTATACATGCCGCGGATGTGTTACACGGGTGCTATTATTTGACATGTCATCCAGTTTGTGCGTTCCTCGGTACACAAAATGGTAGTCCTGAACCTTCATTATCTCTTTCTGATAATTCTCCATTACCTCTCTCAAGCAGTATGAGTACACTTGAAGTATATTTTATTGAATTCCTTTGAATTTCCTTCACTAGCTTAAAAATTCATTTAAAATTGTACTAGCAATTATTAAAATTATTCTAACAATTATCATTACTGTATAAGTTTATTTTGATCAAAAATATTGATTCAACAGAACAGATTTTAAAACATCTGAACATATATTATCTATGGGTATTATTCATTTTTATAGTTTTTACGAAATTGGATGATGAATTTATTAAGTCCAATCAAATGTATTATATTTATTTAATCATTTATAATGCATTTTAATATAATCCCATTAGAAAGAAATAGATTAAAATATTTGATAAATATAATTAAATTATTTTTTTCACTTGAAATTAAAAAAAAAAACGTTTTTTCAGCTCATGGCTTTGTTTACTGCGGCAGCAATGCACGATTACGACCATCCTGGCCGCACAAATGCATTTCTTGTTGCAGCTGAAGATAAAAAAGTTCATTTTATTAACTTTAATCTTCAGTTACAGAAATTAAGTTTAAAAAGAAAAAAATCATTGTTTTTTCCTCAAAATGAATTTTATCCATTCCTCATATCGAGTAATTTTTGCATGTTTTATTAAATTTATTTTCACTTCTTTCATTAGCTTAAAAATTCATTTAAAACTCTGTCAGCGCAATTGTCATTTACGGAAAAAAAATTCAGCAACGAAAAAATTTCCAGTTATATATTAAATTAGTTAGCCAAAGATTCAAATAGTTTTTCAATTTATCCTAATTCTATCATTCCATTTCTTTTTTGTTTCATTTCAACAAAAAAAAAAATCTTTTGTTGTTATTGTTGCAAATATTCTCGTTATATGCTAAAATAAACAAATCTGTTAATTTATTAATAATAAATGAAGAAAAATGATTATTTGCATATGACATTTGCGCGTTGTTGAGATGAGATATGAGCGCAAAAATTCAACGGTCTGAAATTGTCTATTTGATCCGAGTAGATATAATTGTTTGAAATTGCAAAAATGATAAAACAGTATTTTTTGATAACAAAAAAATTTTCATTACAATTGGAGTTAATGAATGAAATGCAAAAGATTCCCAAATTATTTAGACAGTGTAGAATTGGAGAGAATGAAATGTTTGACCTTTTCACCTGAGTAGATTTGATTTTTGTTGAATGGATAACTTAGAACTGATAAAACGATTAGTATGGAGCTAATAATTGTAATAATGATGATTGGGTTGAATAATTTAGTGATTGAAATTTGTTTGCCTTTGTTGTCTTTTTTAATATTCAATCTAAACATCAATTAAACTTGTCAACTACTCATTGCTTGGGACAAAAAAGGTAAAAGTAGGATTTAAGAGAAATTCTTCAAATTATTAATCTTATTATTTTAATTTGATAAATATCCAATTACTATTAGCATGAAATTTATTATCATTATGAATTTCTTTTTTCCCAACTAAAAACTGTTTAAAAAAATGCTTCATACTGCAAAATAAATTCAAATCTTATAATTAAAATTAATATGTTATAGGCTATTTTGTACAATGATCGATCAGTATTAGAAAATCATCATGCTGCTGAATCGTGGCGTCTTCTGTCGAAACCGGAAAATTCTTTCATTGAAACATTAGATGCCGCTGAAACAAAACGTTTTAGGTATTTTATTAATTTGCTAATTGTTTTATTTGCAATGAAAAAAAATTAAATAACTAAATTATATTCAGTTAATCGTTTATTCCAAAATTACTTTGCAATAATTATTATTGTTATAATTTTACATACATATATGAGATATTCATATTTACTTATATGCTATTCTTATACTATTAAATGATATTAGTAACAAATTTAATAAAGATGATCTTTGATAAGTTTTTTTCTTTACTTACAGATATCTTGTACTGGAGTATATCCTTGCCACGGATCTCAAGCAACATTTTGATATCATAATGCAATTTAATGAGAAAGCACCGGATATGGATTTAGGTAATGAGTCAGATCGTGTGATCATTTCACAGATGCTCATTAAATTTGCTGATATTAACAGTCCTTCTAAACCATATCCACTTCATCGTCAATGGACCGATCGCATTTGTGAAGAATTTTATGGTCAGGTATGTAATTTAAAATATTTAATTGATCTAATCTATTTTATTTATATTTCCTCAATTAATATTTATAAATAATTTTAATTGTGCAAGAAAAAAAAATTATTCCTCAAATATTCAACGATTAAAATAAAAAAATGTTGTAAGTATTGTTTGTCTTAGCATTGTTTGATGTTTAATATTTTAACAAACTTATTTTTAAATTCTCTCAATTTAATTGGATTTTCTTTCCTTTTTTAACGAATAGATTCATTGTAGGGCGACGAAGAGAAAAGACGTGGTATGGCGGTGTCACCGTATATGGATCGAGATGATCCAGCGGTTGCCAAATTACAGGATTCGTTCATCTCGCATATCGTTAGTCCATTAGCTGTTGCATTGAATGAAGCCGGTCTGCTACCGATTTTACCAGGTTTAGAAGAACCGGAATTGATCATCAACCTAAAACACAATCATCAGAAATGGCTTACCGAACTGGAAGGACAAATGACTTCCACAAAAATCATCGAATCAGGTACCACGGCACCTGCAACCAATGCACCTAATCAATCATCTTCAATTTCACTGAAAACATCAAATCTTGTAATCGTCGAAGAGGTTTGCTTCCATTGAAATGTTTCAGATCAAATCATTCCTTTCTTTTTTCTTCTTTCCCTCTCTCTCCCTCTCTCTCTCTCTCTCTCCGTTCTATCTATCCTCTCATAAAGGTTAGATTGTATGTATGAAGTAAAAGGTTACAATGAACAGTATATCAGGAAATTTTTTAAACTATTAACATTTGGCTAATTAGGATTTCTCTTTTTGGAAAATGATAACAATATATTATAAAAGGTTGTGGTGATTATTTTCTAAAATAATATGAACTTGGAAGAGTATTTGATGAGTAATGTCGATTGAATAATATAAATCTATTTAAATTAATTTTCATTTTTTTTTAATTATGGTAAAAATTTTTGCAGACTAATAATGAGGATAGTAAATGTGGTAGTAAAGATTGTGAAAACGAGAATGGTTATTCAAGCGAGTATATTCAGGTAACTTTCTTCTACTTTTATGATAATTAATTTTTCCTCATTACATAATTACTTTTCGTAATTTCACATATTTAATAGCTTTTCATTTTTAAAATCTTTTTTCGTCTATAAAAAATGTCTCATTCTATTCATATAAAATTTAAACATCAAAAATTCTTTTTAATCCTATGCTTAATTTTTGCTCATTATTTAAATTTTGCGAGATTTTCTCTTTTTGATATTTATTTCAGCAATTTTAAATGTTAGAAATTTCAGTAATTTTTTAATATTTTTGAATGATTTTTTAAAATTTAAAAATTTCAGTGATGTTACTTCTTTGTGGCAACAGTATCATGCTGATATATACACGTTCTGATCATTTTTACTGATATTATTATTATTCTCCTCGCGTATTTTTATCCTCAAAAAAATATATATAACGCTTTTCTCACAAATTGATTTTATTTAAGAATAATTTCTTTTTTTTTTCATGTAACTCTTAACAGTAATTTAATTTTCTGTTTTAATCTCACTTTCTTTTCCTCTTCCGTATCAGATATCACTTGAGAATAAAACTGTTAATATGACAAAGTATGTTAGAAAGTGATTATTCCGTATGACTGATAATAATGTGTTTGAGATAATGAGAAGTGAATACTACTATTTTTCACTAATTACTATAATTTAATCGTGAAATTATTGCAGAGAAATATTAAATAAGGAATAAAAAAAAGGAAATTTTATCCTAAAACGCGACATTTGCCGTTTTTAATTTTCAGGTCACTGTTTGTTAAATCCATTTTCAAACTTTATTTATTTGTCCCTCTTCCCTTAAAAAAAACATTTGCTATCAAATGCGACTGTAAATTATTTGTTTCAAAATTTATTGTTCTTAAAACATTCATTTTTTGCTATTTAAAACATATTTGATTGGTTTTATTTAGACAGTTTGTTTTCCATTTTAAATTGAAATAGCAAAATTGTTAAGGCTAACATGGGTTATTTTTTGCAGGTTATTCTAGGCTTCTGCTAAGATTTTTCCGTTTTGTAAAATGTAAAAGTTTCGCGAGTAATTAGAAATACAAGATTAAACAGAACAAAAAAAAGATGGATGTCTTTCTGATCATTCTCTGCTAATACTTTCCAATGATGAATTAAATAGCTTAGGAAATTAGATGGGAAATAAATTTTAAGCCAGAAAATTAGGAGTGCAGTATTCAATTTCTTCTTTTCCTGATTAAATTTTATGAGTAATTCCTGAAGCTGTTGTAGTATTATGCATTTAAGTGATTTAATCATTTCTATTAAAAATGAGATAATTGGAAATGATTGGAACATTCGTTTCTGCTACCCTTTGAAATATCATTTTTCATTTGTTATTTCCAACATACTTATGCATCAACATGCTTCTCAGTCACTGATTGAAATGCTTTAAAACACGAAGCAAAGATTCTGTTTTCTTTTGTAAGTGTCAGTTTACCGTATCGTTTGTTGATGGTGTTAATTTGTGATATTAATTTGTATTAAATTTTGCAATTTTCAAAATTTGTTAAAGAATGTTCTACCTAATCAATTCACTATTTTTGTTATTTTGTAATTTTGACTTTGATTGAATTTAAATTTATTACAGATTAGCATGTGCGATGTTACATTAATAAATTATTCAGTAATAAGTGACAAATGATATTGCTTTCAATTAAACTTACAATAGCATTCAATTAAACTTATAATAGCATTATTTGGTTTGATCCGCGAAAAAAAAATTACTGTTACAGTTCAATTTTTTAATTTCACTATTAATTAATTTATTGAATTTGACATTTGTTATTGAAATTATTCTGATAAATTTTTGGTAAAAAAAGTTTATGGGAATCAATTTATTGGGATTTATGTTGTTTTTTTTGGTTGAATTTTTTATTCTTTTGCATATGCAATTTCTTAATGTTACACTTTGCTGCATCCTTTTCCCCATTAATTCAACTGTTTCACTAACAATTTTTTTCCATTTAATAATGTTTAAAATTTTTCCACTTAATAATGTGATGAAATAAATCTTACGAAATGTTGTCAGATTTTTTGATGAAAAGTGGTGTTAATGGGAAAAGTTATTCAAATCAGTGATAGAAATATAATGCTACATCCATAAAATAAGATTTTGAAAAATCATAAAATAATATTTTGAAAAATAAAATGATATTTTAAAAAATTTCGAAAAAATATTCCAAATTACTCAATTCTGACATATTTCCGGTTAGGTGAAATGAAGAGAAAACAGGGCAAAATATTTTTGAACAAAATATCAGTGCTATATATCAATTCTTCTGATTTATAATGGTTTCCATTTATTATTGATAGCAACAAAAACTAAAATATTTTTTAAATTTATTGAAAGTTAATTTTTTTTAAAATAAATCTAAAGTTGAACTGTGATAATTGACAGTGATGTTTGTTAATAAATTGGTATATTCTAAAAGGAAAAAAAAACAATTTACTTTCTGCTTCATTTTGTGTTAACAGTCTATCTTAATTTTTTAAAAAAAGAAATAAGCGAAGATCGAATTGATCTGATCGGTAACGGAAAAATACTAAAATGGCGCTAATGTCAGATTATAGCATTTGATTGGTTCGTAATAGATTTCCATTTTTTTTCTTGAAATACAGCGATGATTTTTTAAATCATTTAAAAGTTTGCGGTGCGATGCACAAAAATGGTATAGCTGAAGGTACTGTAATAAATTTGAATAAAACAGTGAACGAAATGGCAAAATGATAAGTTCTGACGAAATTTCGAATTTTTTTAAATTTCACTGCCACACAAACATCTGCACTGAATGCTTTTGCGAGTCGCATGCAAAATATTGTATGTGTGTTGAACTTTGACATATAATGCGAGCTTACTTCGCCATTTCATTAAGTAATCTGTAACGGATTAACTTTGAATTTCTTTTGTATGTTACCTCATTTAGCCGAACAAAATGATTAAAAATGCCGTGAAATCAGCATTTGCACGTCCACACCGTAAACATTCACGTTACGTCTGAATCAAGCACAAACTGCTGATTTTGATCTCTGTTTCTCTCTTTTTTCTCTACTTCTCTCTTTATGCATATTTCATTGCGTTTTTTTGTATCGTTGTCGAGTTGTTATTAAATCGATCGGGAAGGAGCGCAGGACATGCAGCAAGCAATCATTGTTGCTGCTGCATTCAACTCTGTGATGATGTCATTCTCATTATCAGTGATTGTCCAAGTTATTGCCTTAATGATAATTTATTTTATGTAATGAGGGACTAGGCTGGTAGTACTTGGAACAGAAACATTTATCAGTCCTCTTGTGGGATGATTTATTACCATATGAAAAGTGATGTTTTTGAAATAGCTAAAGTTGATCGGATAGTTGCATCGTTCTCGTGACTTTTTGATTTTACAGAAAAAGTAATAATTTTTTTTCTTTTCAGAAGTAAATAAAATTTTAGAAAATTAATACTTCGCATGGAAATTTTTTATGCATTACTAATATTGTAATAGTTGATATTAGCATCTGAAATGGGTAATGTGAAATCAACGAAAGCTAACGGAACGGATTTTCTTAGCTTACATCGATTTCGGACATTACTGCCATCCTGAAACGACTTGAATTCCACTCTCGCTTGACAATCATTTTCAATAAACTACTTGCAATCAAATCAGTAGTTAAAATGAACAATAAGTGACAGTTCCGATTCTACTACTAACCGGGAGATTTTGAATTAAACAAGAGCCATTAATTGTTTTGTTAATGGGTTGTTTATTTGTGGCATATTTGCAATTACAAGTGGTGCTACTCATTGGGATAAGGATGGTCGGAGCTGTCGAGAATGAAAATGCTCCAGTGATTTCAATTGTGGAGCAATCTGAGGACGATAAAGTATGGGAATTTCACTCTAAGTCAGTACGACATGCACAAGTTTCGAAGAAAACTTGGGATGAATATATAAAATATAAAGGTGAGTAGCATTTAAAGCTGAAATTTTCAATTATATATAAGCAATTAATATATCTTTCTGTCTAAACTAAATGAGATCATATTTCTGATCGTTGGTTTTATATCGTAGCGAAACAATTCTTTGCACTTAGATTATGTTATGTAACATTTTATTAATCACATATACTAACAATTGATAGATATCAGACAGTCACTTATGATTTTTAATAATTCCATTTTTCAGAACAAACATGTCGCTTAGAAGTCGAGAAAGACGCAGAATCAAAGGCGAAAGGTTATTTGAGCTGGGAAGAAATGACGTTCCACAAAAGTTTACGATCAAAGTAAATTTTAATGTTATTATAACTGTTGTGATTTATTGTAATGGATTTTAAAAAGCCTCTTGCTAATGTTTGTGATAGGTTGTAGAATATAAAATGCGCGCGCATTTTGATCTTATTTAATCCAATTTTAGATTATTGCCGGGTTTGACAACTAGTGATGCTTTATCATACAAAGATGCAATTATGCTATCAAATGTAGATAATCGCTTGCTTTCACCAGAACCAGAATCGCTTTGTAAAATTGGCGTAATTGATGATAGCGATCAAAATGAAATTGCTGAGAGAAGCCGTTTTGAAGATACTTTGATAAGTCGGTAGGTTATTTTTCCCTTCTTGAAATTTATTTTTCAACAGTCATTTACAATTCGGAATGTTTTTGATTGATTTAGTGCGTTTTTCTTACACTATTTAATTGCATTGCAATTTAAAATTTGAAACCAAAATGTTGCTAGCGTTTGGATTTGCTTTGAAAATAAAATGAGCTGTTCGACAGCTGATAAGGATGAGTTTTGAAGACAATGTAGGTCTTCTATAAATCCCATCAAGTTTTATATATTTTATTACGATAGCTTGATTGATAATGATTGCTCTGATACTTATATCCCATCTTACTTACTGTGTCATAAAATACGCTAACATCCACTTTATCTCATCTGTAGAACAGAGTGGGTTGAAGTGAACGCATGGATTTTCGAATTTTATCTTGCATTTCTATTTTCTTCCAGTAGTAAATCTCCTGTATTCATGATTTCCTTATGGTTAGACTACTTTAAGTGGTAGGGATTGATTAGTGAGTTGTTAAGAAAAGCAGAAAGTTGATCGGCTTAATAAGAGGATAAGTAAGTAGCAAAACTAAACATTGGTTTGTTACTGGATCGTTTTTTTATCATAATTTGTTGAAGTGGTGAAATAGAGTAGTATTACAAATTGAAGATGAAGTCTTTTATTTTTTCAAAAAAAGATTTACACTGCACTTTTCTCTATATATTATTATACTATGTTTTTTCTTACTCTTTTTTGTTATAAACTTTCATTTTCTTATTCATCATAATTAGATATTTACTCGCTTCTTTGACAGTGTTTTTGTTGCATGCAAATTTGAACATAAAAAGCCAATCATGGATTGTTGCAATTGCTTGTAGATTGTTTCGGAAAGAAATACGGGAATCGGAACAAGGAAATTCAGAAACTCAGAAAACTAAACATGAAGAGCTATCTGATTCTTAAATTAATTTTGATTTCCTCATAACAAAAAGAATTCGGAGGATCCATGTAAATCAATATCCAATTTGTTTAGAAATTTTTTGTGAAATTTTCTGATACTGAAATCATGAGCTTACGTATTGAGTAACTTTGTAAAAATATGTGTATCAGTCTCTTTAAGATACAAGAAAATTTTCAAATTTTTTAACGATGATTTTTTCCTCCAGAGATTAATCAGTGAATATATCTTTGAGCATTATTTGTTCAAGGTTAGATGAAAGATAGAATTAAAGGATTTTTGTGAAAAAGACTGAATACATATAAGAAATAACCACCTTGTTTTTTTGATAGTATTTGTTTTATTTAAGTTAATTTACTGCTATAGCATCTTTCAATTTTCTCGTCAGTATTGATATTCGTATTTGCTGTGAAATTTTATTATATATATATACATACATACATACATATATATATTTATTTATATATCTGTTCATTTATATATACCTCTCAGGTAGTATTGATGTTTTTACCTCTTTGGTTCAACAGTGTATATTATTTATATAATACTCTTTTGTATTGTCTTTCATAAAAATATTTACAGTAGATTTTTATAGTGTTATTACCATCTGAAGCAATCATCTTGAATAATGTTTTGAAGATTTTCATAGAAAAAGATTTGTTTTATTTTGATTCTATTTTAAACATTTATATATTTACTTTGTTCTTCCTCAGTGCACTCCTAACTTTTGAATCTCTTTTTATCTGGAGGTTTGGAGATAAAATTATACAGTAAAAAAAAGATATAAAAATTTCACGAAAGGATGATTTCTGATTACAGGAGAGCAAAGAGGCAAGACAAAATTTTGCTGCATGATATTAATATTTTTTTCTGATCGTATTGTTTTTGATATAATGGAGAATTTTTGATACAACATATGATATTAATCTTCTTAAATGTATTCATAATGTTTGATATTTCGATGTATTGCAGAATTTTTGCTGTGCCAATTTTCGACGACGATTTCGACTATTAGAATAACATTTCGAAGCAGTACCATACAAACTGATTTGTAGTAATAGCTGCTGGTGATAATTTAATCAGAAATGATAAATGAATGTTCATATGCTAAATTATTGGTAAGATTACAATAATTACAGTACAGTGAGCCTTCTTTGTCCTTTTTTCAACTGTTTAAGAATCCAAGAAAATTTATGTCAACTTTGATGCAATTTCATGTTTACTAATGTTCCATAACATTAATGAAAGGCACTGGAGTTAAGCATACGTACGAATATTAGTGATTTTGATTCGTTATCATTTGTATTATAGTATCTTATTATAGTTTAGTTTTTCATTCTTGAGCTCGATTGTATTGTTTTTAGGTCTGTCTATTCGCTGTTCGTTCATCAAAAAATTGAGCACGATTCAAAACGTTTCTTTTTGGTTCTTTAATGAGAATGGAAGGTACTGAATGCTTTAAATTATTCATGGTTAAAATTATCTGATTGTTATGCTGAAAAATAATCGAAATTAAAAAAAAAAAGTCCCTAAAATTATAATGATTTAAATCCTAACGAAAGAAGAAAAACTAAACGTTTAGGAATATCTAAATCTAATATTTCAGTTTCAAAATTTTTTTTTCATGACTGTTAAATAGTGCGTCACATTTATAATATTATTGAAAGTTTTAGTCTGTAAGACTTCCATTGATGATTTAACAATTATTTTCCTTGCTATACTTGTAAAAAATTTTTTTGTTTGCGAATTATGGAATTATTGCCGTCTGTTTGCTATCAAATGATTAAAATTATACCAAATACTCTCTCCTACAACTAGTCAGTATCAAAAAATGTATCATACAGTATGATGGAGCGATCTATCAATTATAAAAACTTCACAGTTTTTGAGATTTTCTGGATATTTAAGTTTGGTGTGATGGATAATTTTTGAATCGAATGGAGAGTTATTTGTGACGATACATTTTCTCTTCTAATGATACAATCTCATTCATTATTTTCGCTTATATATTAACACGCTCTAAGCTGTTGAGAGTTAGCAATCATAAAGATTTAATTTGTTGATGAATAACACTCATATCCTTTCTAGCTTGTTATCTAATAAAGCATATTATCCATGAAATTTGTAGCATTTGCTTTTCAAACTTCTAACTGAGAGGGGAAATAGTATTTTAAAATCTGTTGAATATTTTTACTTCTTTGGTTTTTGTCTATAAACCTAATCCATAAGAAGAAGAAGAAGATATATCCAATGATTCCAATCATGCAACCGATTTATAAAATTTTGCAGAATGCCAAAAGTTGCACATTTTATTCAAAATTCTTCGTAGAGAGAATTTTAAAGTTGAAGAGAAGAGCTACACTTGTCATGTTCAATTATTTAGCACAGGAATGCGGAATGTTGATAATTTCACCTCTAGAAATATTGATCACAAATTTCTGCTACGTCATCACTGTTGACAGTTATCCAATCTCCGCCGAAATTTTAGAAAAACTTTGACAAAAAAAGTGAAAGTATATTCAGAGATCGAAATTGGACAGATTTTTAAGAAGTTACATTCGAGTTCTTTTGTGTATTTACATATTCAAATTATGTTTCGAATGAATTGGACAGATTTTGAATTGGAGAGATTCATTAAAATTTTGATTTGTATAAGTTTGCCCCTTATTTGATATCATTTAAAAGATAAATCATTTCTGCTGCTATTTGAAGTGAAATAATTCAATATTTACAAGCCGCAAATGTTGAATTATTTCACATTAAATACTTTCTCTATACCTTTTGTACCTTTTGGAACTGTATACCTTTTGGAACTGTCAGCATGCCTACGAGTGCAAAACTTCATAACATACGACGATCCGTAATAAATCCACAAGTACTGATTATGGATGGTATCGGAATGGCCATTTTGCTTTGTATAGGATATATTTTCTTAAGAATTTCAATTTTTTAATGAAATATTAGAAATTACCAAATCAGAAAACTGTTACATTCGGATGTGTATAAATGCAATGAACCATTTTTGAATAATAATCATTAGTGCGCTTTTAAGAAATATGGAGAAATTGAAAGAATTATTTGAGCATAATGAATTTTAGCAACCGCTCAAGTGGGAATAAATATAATTGAGTTTAGGAGGAAAATGAAGAAACTGATAGTCAGGTCAAGGCCAATATGATTCAATCGGACCCATCTGTCAAGGTAATTGCGATAAATGTCCTATGAATTAACGCAAACTTCGAACATATATAATACGTTTCATTAAAATTAAAGAGATTGGTTGAATCTTTCCTTTTCAACACATATTTCATAAAGTACAATTTGAAGTGTAGTCCTACTTGAAAAATAATATTTTCCATTTTAAAACATTCCTAATGCCATGCTTTTCAGGGACCATTCAAATTTCTAGGGCTTTCAAATAATAGAAATTATTTAGAAATTTTCAAATAATAGAAATCATTATAGTGACATTATCATGGCTCCTTGTTGAAAAAAATAAATTATTTTACTAACAACAGTAACGATTATACCTTTTAATACACTTCACTAATGTAGCGACGAAATTCATTTGTTAAAATATAAAATTTTGGAATCCATTAAACCAATTTATTTTCATTTTCTTATTAAAGGAAATTAATTTTTTCTGTAAAGTCATCCAGAAGAAGTTAGTAACAGAACAAGTGAGATAAATAGTAAAACCTATGTTCATCGCTCTTGACAAAATTATCAAAAATTAAAATTTTTTCTCTAGAAAAATATCACCAATTAAAAACAATAATTGCATCTCCATTCATATCGATTTCTGCAGTAACACAAATTTAGAGCTCTTAACAACACTTACAACTTTTCAAAGAATTTTGTTTCTAAAATCATTTTCGCTAATTTTTATGCCACAGCTTCTTTCGGTGTGTCAAACGGGGCTTCTATAGTCAATTCGCCACAGTCTACAATTTCAACATCTTGTTTCGGGCGATCTCCTGGATGTGTTGCAGTTTGCTCAATTTTTCTAACAACATCCATACCTTCTAGAACTTTTCCAAATACAACATGACGACCATCTAGCCATGACGTTTGTACCTGAAACTATGTTAGCTGTCATAACATCTCCGAAATATCACCTCGATGACAGCGAAATTTCAGTTATAACTTAATAAAACGTTTTCTTATAAATTAACCGTAGTTATGAAAAACTGCGATCCATTGGTATCTTTTCCTGCATTAGCCATACTTAACCAACCAGCACCGTAATGCTTCAATTTAAAGTTCTCATCATCAAAACGATCACCATAAATACTTTTACCACCGGTTCCATCTCCTCTCGTAAAATCACCACCTAAATTTAAAAAATTTTTGAATAACGATTTTTTCTAGGAAAAAAAAAACTTGCATTCAAAAAAAAATTAACCTTGTATCATAAAATCTTTGATTACACGATGAAATTTGGATCCTTTGTAGCCGAAACCTTTCTCACCAGTTGCCAATGCGCGAAAGTTTTCTGCTGTTTTCGGTACATCGTTACCAAATAGACCTATTTCTATTCTTCCAATCTAAAATTATGTAACTGTGAATACATATCACAGATATACGAGTTTAGCAAAAAAGAAAATTCTTCCAATCAGAAAGATTTACTAATTAGCATGAAATATTTTAGCGTAGTATATTCGATTAATAGAAAAAAAATGAACGAAATACAAACCTTATTACCACCGACAGCAATATCAAAATAAACTTTCTTCGTAACTGTTGCCATTTCCTTAGCATTACCAGAAATGTAAAAAGTGACAAATATGATAGCTGCCGTTAGGATGAAGCTCATATCTAAAATCATTCGATTATAGGACAAAGCATTAATAAATTTTATCACAACCTGAAATTGATTAATTTTGTTCCGCCACATAATGCAACAATTAGAAAAAGCAATGATAGTGAAATGATAAATATATATGCGATGGAGCAAATATTGTAGATATGAGAAAAGTAATGAGTGATATGCAACAGCAAAATGAAATTAAAATTTATAAGGAAGAAATGAAGAAAAGTGACATTTGCATGTTTGGTAATGTTTTAATCTGAAATTGTCACAACAACTGAATGTTCCTTTCTTCAATGTCATTCAATTACTAATTGTGATTAATTAGGAAGTAAATTCGCTAGAATATATTCTGCCGAGTTGTAATGATGTCACACGCGATGTTTGCGTGGAATTCTTTAGGACATAAACGTCACAATATGTTCGCTATTCTGGAAGAATAATTTCGAGATTTATCGCGTGCTTTAATCACCAACGAATATTATCTGCTGATAAGGAAAAGTAATGGAAATTCCTAAATCGGAAATTATAAAAAGATCCAAATTATCCGAAATTCAAATTAAAGTATTTTTAAATTTTGTTACGAAGGAAGATTCGAAAATAATGGAAAACATTTAAAGAGTAGCACTGTCTTTATGTGTTCATTGATGAGAAGTTATGCGAGGGATCATGCAAGAGTTGCATGCATGCAACTCTTGCAATAGTTAATATGCCAAGGAATAGGCTGCAATTTAGAATGAAACGCGGAAGAGGCAAGCGTATCTGTTGGGACTACTTGAAAGATGATCAAAATTTTCATTTTTGAAACTTAAAAGAGAATAAAAGCTATCCAAATAAACTGTCACTAAAATAGGGTGTAAGGTCAAGACTGAACTTTCCTGCTTACAGGTCAAAACATATGCATTGGAAAGAATAGAAATGAGATATCAATTTAACAACATACCAACATTTTCCAGTTCCTATGGAATTGCTCATAATAAGGGAACTGGGAAAGGAACACACCCACACGCATATGCGCACGCAAACGCAAGCGTAGATGTACACGTGTACACACACAGACACACACACACATATATACATAAGACAGAAAGACAGACAGACAGACATGAGATTAGAAGGGCCGAGAGGGGGACGAGAGTGTGACCGACCGACGACCGCTCTTTCGGTTGCGATAAAGAGGGGACGAAGTACTGTCTGCTCAGATTATTATTCTTCCACTTATAACCTTCAAATTGAAAATGTTTGGAAAGATGAAAATGTCTCATTTAAAAGTTACAAACTGCTCACAATGAATTAAGAAGTTTAACTTAAAGTATAAATTTCATTTAAATCAAGAAATCTATGCATCAAAATGACTGAAATAATGAAAATTACATGGCAATCACAAATTATTTGAAAAGCATTCAATCATATATAATTGATAGATCAAAATCATTTACAATCAGAAAGGAGAGCCGAAAAAAAATAGGAAGATTTCACTGATGTTTTGAAAACTAATGAACAGTAGAAAAATTCTGTCTCTCTGCCTGCCTGCACTATACATATATTTGTATGTGTATGTGTGTGTGTATGTGTGTGTATGTGTGTG